AGCATGGAGAAATTCTGTCTTGGTCACTCACATGTAACTTCTGCTTATAATATCCATACATTATCAAACAAACAAGTAATGACTAAAAAATAAACTTATCGATAAGAAGTTGTGATCCATCACTAAATTCTTGTAACTAAGCTAAGAGGAAATTTGTAGAAGCAAGCAGGGAGAATTGACAATCAGATATTGGGAGTTAAAGAACGAAATATAGGTTGCCTTGAGATGGTTTTAGTATGTATTTCTTTTCTCACAACTGACAGAGGAACTTGATTCCTGGCACAAAAATCCCCTTCTAACAAAGAATAAATTCACAGCTTATGACCGTAAAGTAAAAGTATAAAGGCTGACAACTGCAAAGTGAAAAAAGATTGTCTTGCCTTGTAAGATTCCATCCAAGAGGATCTGAAAAGCCATCATAGCAATAAATTCTAAGAATGAAGAGAATTCAATGGAAAAATCTTGAGTTTACATGCTTAACAATCGGAACAGCTATCATACATTTAACATAACCTTACCTGAAAAAAAAATTATGACTACAGAAGGATTTAAGATTGCTTTTGTAACTTTCTATTACCAACCAAGATATCACAAGAATCACAGCGGAAAGCAAAAAAATATGAAAATGGCTGGTCTGTTAACCTTTCTTTCAAGTGTGGGTCAAATGAATCAACAAACTGCTGTGGTGGTACATCCCAGAGTACTACATGCACATAGTCAGCCCTGGAAAAATAAATAAATAAATAAAATGCTGAAATTATGTCAAGGATTCAACAAATACTAGAAACTACTTTTCCAAATACTTTAAAACTAACCAGACAGCTGTGATAAAAAAGGCCAACCTATTATGCAAGAAATACCACATCAGCTTAAGTATAGATAGCCAGTTAATAAATGATGACTTACTTCCTTCCCTCTACATTTCCCTAACCCTCCTCTAAATATAAACCTGTGCATCAGAACAAAAAGTAATTTTGACAAAAAAAGAACATCAATTTAAAAAAAATTGTGTTTATTCTGATCTGATTTAACTCCCATTGGTCAAAATGCACCATGCCAATTATTAAGCTGCAAATTAAAATGAACAATGTGTCTCAGTCAAGAGAGTCTCGATAGAGCTGGGGTGAGACAGGAATTAATGCCATTTGTTTATATTAGCTTACTAAATTTTCATTTGAGCTCACTGTACAAGATGTTGTTGTTTTTAGAACTAGTTGCCATTTTTCATACATATTTTCCTGGGATATTTCCCAGTCCAATACAGACCATGCTGCATTTTGAACATGTTACCCTGCTAACCCTGCGCGTTGGTTTGGAATTGTTTTGTTCCTTCTTTTCAATGAACTTAAATGACGCTTTGCACAATTTCAACATTGGTTCAATTCAATGGATGATCCATCTTGCATTTCACAATTTTCTCGTTTGCAAAAATTACCTCTCCAGTAGCGACTTCACAAAACAACAGAGCAGGGGCTTACCATTTCGATTCACATCATCTGGAAAATAATGATAAAAATGTTTAACTGTTAGACGTTCATCTGTAAGATGAACTTTGTCGAATTTTCAACTGCACCAGTTCGAGCGCTTGAAAACTCACCATGAATGAGAACAAGATGAGAATTTTCTTTTCCATTTATAACATCTCCGAGAAGCATTTTCCACCTGTTTTTTCACAATAATGAAAAGTACTCTAGCACAGTGTTCACGCGATCCGCCATTTTGGCCGCTTTGTTAGCGTAGACCTGGGACCAGACAGCGCAAGAGTAGACAAAATGGTCAGCGGAAATGTAACCTAGCAACAGTGCGTCCATGACAACACATTTTCATTGAAACGAAACAAATAGTTCTCATTACACTTCTAATTGCTTTTTCCAGAACTTCGAGAACAAGAATGGAAGAACACGCAGATGCGAAATGGAATTTACCGGGCTGGAGAATAGAGCAGAAGTACAGCACTGATGTACTGATCGGGAATTGGAACGAAGAACGTCGAGTGGTAAGTAGCGCTCCTTCTTTTTAGTAGGGTTGAACATCCCATCATGCGGATGTGAAATAATTTCTCGGCACAATAGAACCCAACAAGCTGTGAATAATTAGCTGCGTAATATCAGCTTGCTAAGATCCAATTTTCCTTATTTCTTCAATGCTTAATAAGCCACATCCAAAAGAATTCTCTCATTCAATTTCCCATCGAAACTGTCAAAAGTCACTCGTGACTTTTACAATTTTGACTGAAATGCCCATTGTTGAAATAATTTTAATTCCAATAACTGAATTGCGTATTTGCTTGAACAGTTGTAGCGATGATAAACATCTTCTTTGGGAAAGAGCCAGAATCAAAGATCAAAAATATGAATCATTATGACATTACTTGATTAACTAATACTTAGTCGAATAATTTTATTATTTTTTTTGTAGATGTGTTTTGTATTCTTTTTGTTCACTAAACTTACGTGAATATTTTGTACTGAATTCCTGACCCGCTAGTAGGCTGCAGTCGCTCAAATGGAGAAAAGGAATTTACTTAATGAACAAGAGTTTGAAATTTAGGAATAGATTAAAATATTTTGTTTAGAAGCTTATTAAATTTAACAGCAGTTTGGTAATAATTTCTGGTATTTATATATTCAAGCATTTCACACAATTTACTTGCGCAATCAGTTTTGAGCATGAATTTTTTGATGGCTTTTTAATGAACATTAGTTTCTTTCCTGAAAACAGTTGGTGGGATGCTTATTGCACGTTTCTCGGTCTGACAGGCTTCCACTACAGAAATTTCTAAATTTTACTTTCAACTTCTTTGACCACCAGTAGGGCACTTTTCTGTAGTTTTCGAACTATATTCTCTACTGATTAGTCACAAGTGCTTCTCTTCCCCTTGCTCAATTACTGAAAATGACAGGGAGAAAGGGAACAATTCAATTGAGACAGTTTTCTTGGCAGGGCCCCAGAAGTGCCAATTTTCTCTTCCAAAAGACAAAACTTAATTAAAATTAAATTTCACAGCTATTATATTGTTGTGTTTTTTCTTCAGTTTGGACGTGGTGACTCACACTTTGGTAGTACTCACAGAGTGGACTTCAAAAATTATGGAAAATTTCTACCAGATGTCACAACCAGACGAAAAGCTCTTCAGCAACATAATGTAAGTTAGTAGTTAAAATATAAATTACAACAAAATTGTTTTCTATCAACATTGCAGGCAAAATTTTATCTTTTTGTTGCACTGTCCAGGAACTTCCAGTGCCTCTAAAGATAATTGTTGTTAAAGGACTGAAAGATTATAGCCTTGGCTCTGGTTGTTGAGGGTGAATAAAACCACCCAAGAGAAAACTGCATAATAAGTCCCTAAACTTATTCTTTCCCTCTCAGGATCTATAAGCTATTTATCTTAACTGGTGGCCATAGCTTTCTTTGTTGACCATTAGTAAGAATTTGAAGCTAAATGAAAAAAAAGTCCACAATCCTGAAGAACATTATTTTTCTACTTCTGACTAACTCCTTGTCGGACAGTCTATTAAATTTATCTCGAGAATGTCTAGAACCATTGCCCCTGAGATTGAAAGAAGTAATAAATCACTCCCTAGATTGTGATAAATCCACAAGGTACCCAAAGTTCTATCTAGCTAAGCCACAAGTGAGAAACTCATATCTTTGAACAACTTTTATAACCTTCTGTATATGATAGTTCTAAGAACTGGCTGCCCTAAATTTAAAATCAAGAGCCTCCTAGCATCCATTTTTTTTTCTAACAGCACAGCTTCAATTTCAATATCCCCCCTTTGTAAAGTTTAAGCCTGATGAAAAAAAAATAGTTTGTAAATTAACAAATAAATGTGTTATTCTATCGAATAGTTTCTTTCTTTAACGTTTATTGATTATTTCAGGGGCTAGGAAAAGAGTTCATATTCTCCCATCATCAAAAAGCTTATGAGGGCAACAGAATATCCTGGTATGACCAACAGTTTAACAAGCGTGAGATTACAGAGTCAAGGCTGCCACCACTGAGGAGCTGGGACAGGCAAAAGTTGGCCTGGGCACCAGAGAAATCTGATTACCCTACCCAAGGTTTGTTCTAAGTAGACTCTTCATCACCAAAGAGGAATTTCTCCTGTATCAACCCATTCTCAATTCTTTCAGTGCATGACATGTTGATGAAAGTGGCATGGTCAGTACTCTTATCAACAACAGCAAATTGGCCAATCAGATTGCAACATTACTGCTAATTGTGATAAAAAAAAACAAGGTTCAAAATAATGAAATAGAGCTTTCCTTGAGAGTACTTTTGATGTCATTTAGATTTACATTCTCTGATAGTATGCTTGACTGTTCAACTATGACAAGGACAGTGGAACAACAAACTGGGGAAGTTCAAAACCCAATACCATGAAAGTTTCTATAGAGACTTGGGTGTAGGTTCTCTGCAAAAAGTTATCCCCAAGTTATCGTTCCATGAATTAGACGGGTAGTTAATATCAATTTTTTTTTTCAATGTTTATCTAGGACCTCCTACAAACTACGGACTTCTGAAGAAACTTCAGCAGAAGTGGAAGAATGAGGCAGCTTTGGAAAAACTTGGGACAAATGTGTCCACTTACAACATATCGTTCACCCAACATCCAAAAGAATTATTTACATTTCAACACCATGCAATACCAAAAAGTCTCTCATGTCACTTCCATCCACATAACATCAACAAAGATCTGCATTTACGAGGGAAACAGCTCAGCACTGCTCCAGAATTTCCTCCAACTCTTGCCATTCCACACAATGTTCCTCCAAACTTTCCACAATCAACCATACTGGCAATTTAAAATCATTTTCATAAAAAAAAGAAAATTGTGGAAATTTTTTTGTGCATATCACTTTTCTGTGATAACTTTTTCCTTACACAACAACTGCTCCCAACTTTATTTATTCATGTTTTTATATGTAAATAAATAGATACCATGAAAAAATACTTTTTGGATTGCCTATCTAATTAAAAGTGACCCTTTTTGGGTTAACCCCTTAACTCCCACGATCTGGTTGTCAGTTCTCCCCTTTAGCTGCTGCACATTTCCTTGAAATTAGTTACAAGAATTAAATTTTAGATCAAGAAAACAACTTCTTCCTGCAGATAACTTTGGGTTAATTCTCATTACCTGCTTACTGGATAATGTATGGATACAATAAAGAGAAGTTAGATGTTGATCACTTCTGGTAGTTTAAGGGTTAAAAGTTGCTTAATTTGATGACTTAGCAAAGATAATTCAAAAGTTGTTTTATATCTGTTGATTAAGGTCACCTGCACATAATACTGTAACAGTCACTATGGGTGATACAAACAACACAGTGAGGTTGTAATTAGTAATTCTGGATACACAAACAATAGGCAGACTGGAAATAAGTAAGTACATAATATTCTATATTGACTTTGCCACAGAAATTATACTCTTTAAAAATTGTCTAGCATTATCATTACCAATGATTATCACAATACTTGAATGATTTATTGACTGTTATGCAGACTTGGAAAGCAACCAAATAGTTGCAGAATCTCTTCTTAAAGTAATGTGGTCTTTTTTATTATAACTACCAAAATATTGGCCCTTAATGTAACTCTGACAGGTTATAAATTACTGAGCTTGTAATTTGAGCCATTCAGTGGAAATGAGCTAATTATTCATCTGAGACACATATACCATTACTGTTTGGTTTTTGTAAAAGGTCACACAATGATTTGTACAATTTATGACAAAAATGTTTAGTAATATATTTTCAAAATAAAACAGCACCATTCACACAGAAAATATTGGCAGTGTTGACTTTTCTTTTTAACTAATTATTCTTTCCTTTATATTGAATTTTTGCATTCTTTTATCAAAAAGCTTACCACCTTGTGTTACATTCATTTAAACATTCTTCACTTCCACTACTTTGCATACTGCTTCACGCTTGCTGTTGGTCATTTTTTATTTGCAGGCCTAAAAAACTGTTCTTGAAAACTCTCTGGAACAGCAATCAGTAGCACCTGTTCAAGGACTATAGCAGTGAGACCCCAAATCTTGCGAGGTCCATTGAGAAATAATGGATAGACAGTCTGAGATGTAAACTTGGTATAGCCTCGATTGAGTGGATTACAGACATGTGCCAGTGAAAGAGTGAAGACAGATTCCACCTACAGACACGAAATTTATAAAATTAATTAAGCTTTTGGTTCTAAGATATCTTTTCATTCTTTTCCTCCTTTCAAGCCTGTCCACGTTTTAATCCCTAGAATTTCCTAATAAATAAGTGATATTGTGAAATCTCAGTTTTTAATGATAATTTAACCCTTTCACTCCCAAGATCAATTTTAATTCTCCATACTGTCTGCCATACAAAGCTTACAATTCTATTCTAAGAATTTAGTATTGGATCAACTATTATAATCCCCTAGTTTTATATTTTTCTTTATTTTCATCACTCTTCTTCTTGATATTGTTTTGACATTGTGTTTATGTTACCCAGATCAATACACTGGCCAGGAATAAAATTTTACACATGACTAAAAGAAAAGTTTGAAAAGCTGTTGTTATTATTTTCATTATTGATTCCTTACCTCCTCTGGGTTTAATTTAAGAGAATTCACATCAATTTCTCCAAGAAAACCAATGACAGGGGTGACAGCTTTTTTACCAGTCTAAAATAAAATTTACAATGACAGTCATAAATGAATGAAAATATTGCAGAACTACATGGACATCACACTAGTCTCATCTCACCATGAACTTTTCTGCTCCACCAGCAACTTTCAGCTGTAACAAAATAACTGACAAATGCATGCGTGGCATCCTAGTCAACAATGAGTCTTACACCCTTTCACTCACTTAAAGTAATTCTTCTTATTCAGTCCACCATACAGTTTTTATGATGTTAGTTTAGAGAATTTAGAATTGGATCAATTAATAATCCCCTAATAGATATTTTTATTTTTTCTTGTCTCTTGTCTTCTTGATAATTGTAAAGGAAAAAATTATGTCTTGGTCACCCCTGATAGTTAAAAGGTTAATTCAAATATTAGTGTTAAAATCTGTCCCACAGATATAAAATTTATCATTTCTACAACTGAGGGAGGTGCAGTGGTATACTGGTGAGTGATATAGACTCCCAGTTGAGAGGTCCGAGTTCGAAACCAAGCCTGTGTTGCATTCTTGGGCAAGATACTTTACTCTCATGGTGCTTCGGCCTCCACATATGAGTATGAATGGGTAAGGGCAAATTTTTAGGGAATCCTGATGAAATGCTGGGGGGTAATTTTGCCACAGACCAGTGTCCCATCCATCGGGGGAGTAGTATTTACTCCTAGTCACTTCATGCTGCTTAGAAACTGCAATAAGCTCCACCTGGGTGGGCTAATAAGCTCATATACAGACTTTTTCACAATTTTATAATCATATAAATGTAGATACCCGATCTGGAAATGCTGGCATCTGCACCCAGACTTGAACATGACTTCTCTCCAGTCCTAATTCCTCTTCCATTTCCCGAACAGCTGTGTCTACAATACTGTTATCTTCAGGATCTCTCTTACCACCTGGAAAACTATGAAATGATGGCAATAAGTCATTACATAAAAGATTCATACCAGCCTAAACTATGCCAGGAATCAAGAAACATCAATCAATTTAAATTATCCGATATTAAATCTCAGATTGCTTATTAAGTTTAATACCAAACTTGGATGAACAGCTCAACTTGATTATGCGATGAGGTTCAAAGACATTCACAAAGAAGGAAAAAGGGAAGGAAAAAAATGGATTTTAGCAGAGGCAGTTCTACAAGATGGCTCTATTGACTGTTTTCAAGTCGAACTGCAATTTGGAGTGTTGGTTTTTGAGGTGAGATGAAAGCCAGAGAACCTAGAGAGAAACAACAACCAACAATAAAAACATATGATCTAACTCAGGCCATATCAGACAGAGGCCAGTCCTTCCACCATTGCCGTATCTCTGCCTCCACAATAACCATTGATTATTATCATGATTTACAGATAATTAAGAGAGTGACCTCAAGAGATTAGCAACTAACCTTACTTCTCCTTTGTGACTGTTTAATTGACTGGAACGAAGAGTAAAAAGCACTGAGGGAACAGAGTTCACAAGACAGAAAGGGACAAATACAGCAGCCTCCTCAGAGCACCTTGCCAGCAAAGACTTAGGAGTTCTCATTTTTCCAAGCTGCCCGACAAGGCGGTCTTTATTCTCCTCTGAAAAGGCATCACTGAAATTTGAACATGTTCCTGTCAAACTGGACGTTCTTATTGTTCTTGAATTGCGACTTCTTGGAAAGAAAGGCGAGCTGCTGGAACGACTAATATTTGATGAGAATTCAGAGGAGGTCGGGTAACATCTTGAAAACCGTAGTTTACGAAGAACTCTTGCGCCTTGTGTCGTCGTGGAGTTCATTTAGAACGTTTTTCCCTTCCAACTGAAGGTAGAGTTTCGACGTGTAAAAATAAAATTACAAAAATGACGCAAACAATTTCACTAAGATATGCAAAATTTTCGACGAAGTAATAACTGAATTACGACAATCTCTTTGACGAAGCAGCGCCACCTTATATTAGCCTCATAGCAGTACAACTTTCTGCCTGAATGTTGTAGCTTTACAAATCAGCTTTTCTATAAACACGTTAGTTGACCAAAAACGAGCATTCATCGTGGACTTCTTTTCATGGTTCATTTGAATTTCGCCGCCATTTTGACGTTTCATAATCAAGTGTTTATGTAATTTACATGAATATTCTTCTTTTGTTAAAAAGCCGCTGTGCACTATAGAGCCTTCAGTCAAACATGACGTTAGCGAAAAGAACTGTAGAGCTTTTTTACGATGTTATTTCACCATATTCTTGGATCGCGTTTGAGGTAGGTGACCTAATTTCAGTAAGAATTTATTTTATAGACTGCATTCGCGTCTCAACTGTTAAGAAAACGTTTTCAAGGACGGGCAGATTTTGTACAGCGAGAACCAGCTTCACTGCTTGATGAGCGCTCTTAGCTCACGGATATCTGGGGCGCGTTAGACGCTTTGAAGTATCGGAACAATGTCAGTATCTGAGCAACTGCACACCCATCCCCTCCCCTAACCCAAAAACTGTGCATCCACCCCTCCCTTAACCCAACATTAACCCCAGATTGTTCTCAGTTGACCGTTGTTGGGTTAGCCAGGGGAGGGGGAGTAGCAGGTGCCCTGTTGCTCAGATACTGATATCGATGCAAAGTATCAATAAGAAAGTACTGCATTTCTGGAAATGATTTAGGTCTGGTTGATTTTCTGATATCTTAATGTTACACAAATACGAAAATGAGGAATATCCTTGTCAGGATACTAGGGTGGGGATATACAAAGAGCCAAAAAATTTCAGCAGGGGTGGGAAGGAGGGGATGGTTAGCCTGAGGGAAACCCCTTGCATAGCTTTCTGTCTCAGAGTGAGATGATGTGTTGGTTTAAATTAATTTCGTTAAATCTTCTAAGAAAAATACAAAATAGACTGGTACTGGAAAAGAAACTTTTTACAAATTCCTTATGAAAACAACTTTTGTATTCATTTATTGACAGGTCCTTTGTCGGTATAGACCCAAATGGAATTTAGACTTGCAATTCCGTCCTTTTTTTCTGGGAGGAATAATGGCAGGCTCAGGTATAAGATTATTGAGGTTCTTTTGATTTGTTGTTAAATTTTTTGCACACAACAGATGGGGGAATATAGATACAGGAGGGCATATTTCAAGTATAGTGTTTTTTTTTTTGGCACAATCCATTGATTCACATTACACTTAAGAAACTAATGCACCTTATATGAGTTTTCACATAATCATATATATTTATAGTTTTTGCTTCTGATCTATATGCAATAATGTAAGTATTTAAATTTGAACCAAATTTTTCTGTCATATGATGGTGTAACTATGAAACAAGCATTTCGATGTAAAATAAGCATTTCAGAGTGACAGTTCATGACAAACTGAATTACTAAACTGTCAGTGGGTCCTCAATGTAAATTATGAAGACTCCTCTTTCATCCCTTTTACCGCAGCATCAGTATGCATATTCTCTATACTGTTCCCTATACACTTTTTAAGGTGTTGAAAAAGAGAATTTGTCTTCCAATCAAAACCTTCTTGAGCTGATGATTTTTTCCCTTTTCTTATATATGATCTTAATGTGTGATTCAGGGGTGATATTGTAGGGCAAAATTAGATGCTAGTCTCTCCAAGGGGTCAAAGGGCAAACATCGGCAAAATACCTTACAACAGTCTCTCTTTCCTGTAATCTTTCTTACTTATGCCTGATGATATTCCCATATTCCTATTTATGAAATGCGTAGGTAACAGACCTCCAGCAATGGTCCCAGCTAAAGGTGTTTACATGATGAAAGATATTCAACGAATGCAGGAGTATTATGGAATCCCTATTATTCCACCTTCTGTGAGTATCGATATCAAGATTTTATCTTTTAGATGAGTTGGTATAGAAACTGAGATCCAATGACTGTGTGGATCAGAAAAGAAGCATCTTTTGCCAAATTTTTTAAAATCTTTTTTTGTCAATAATATAATACTTTTGATATTGATCAAGAGATGTATGGATATTATCGGGAGAATTTGAATCACTTCTGGAAATTTAAGGGTTAAAATACATCGAAGGACTTGGTTCTCAAGAAAGGAAAACATGTTTCAATGTTGATATTATTAAATACGTCAAGTCTTAAGAAATGGAAAGATGTGTGGAGTTGTTTTTCCAAACCATAATAACTGCTAAATTATTTTTTTAAGGCTCTGTATTTAAAATTAGTAAAGAAGCTGAATATACTTAGGTTTGCCAAAACTTTTTATTAACTTAAATGCCATGGGAGCATAGTCAAATCTGGACACTCTCTATAAGTGAAAGTCTGCTTGCTTCAATTATACTTATAATCTTGAGTCTTGAAAATGAACTTTAATTTTTTTTAAGAAAAATACTGGACCATGGTTCAGAGTATTGTTCACAAAAATGTACACAAACCCTCTGGTGACTTCAGTCTGTTAGTTAACCCTTTAACTCCCAAGATCTGATTGTTAATT